CTCAAATGAGCTGCAAAGATGTCAGTGAGAACCGACTTGCATTCTGTCTGAGCAAAGAGAAGTTTGGTTAGAGCTGTCCACCTTAAAGGTGGGTAAAAAACAAAACACATGGTGCTAGATAGATGGAGAAGAAGGAAGGAAGGAAAAAAGGGAAGTGGGAAGAAAGGAAGAGAGAGTTGAAGGAAGTAAGGGGAAGGAGATAGGGAAGGAAGGGCCAAGGTAGAAGGAAGTAAGGGTGGATGGATGGAAGGAAGGGAGGGAGGAAGGAACAAGGGAATGAAAAGAAAAAAGGAAAGAAGGAAGGGAAGGAGAGGGTGAAGAAGTGAAGGAGTGAGAACATAGTGGGTAAAACACAGATGAATAGTTCAATCAATATTTCCATGGGTGCTTTGGGTCATAAAAGAAGTATGAACAGGAATTTGTTTTTAGAGGGGGGAGGGGCAGGAGAGGGAGAGAGAATCATAAGCAGGCTCCATGCTCAGTGCGGAGCCCAGCGCAGGGCCCAATCTCACCACCCTGAGATCATGACCCTGAGATCATGACCTGAGCCAAAATCAAGAGTTGGTTGCATAACTGATTGAGCTACCCAGGCACCCCAGGCATTCTTTATTAGAACAGGAACATAAAAAATAAGAACTGAAGGATAGAATGGTAAAAAAACAACAGCATGAAATGCAGAAAATTTCAGAGCTAAGGGAACAAATTAAGGACCAAAACAACATCATTACAAAACTTTTGCATAAATTAAAGACAACAGAGTACACACAGCTGAAATTCAAATGATTTCCGTAGAGAGAAAGCTGAAGATTTCAGAGTGCACCCAGAAGGAAAATGCAAGGTTTGAAAGCAATTAGAACAGAGTCTCACATGACTGGGCTTCTGGCTCACTCTCAAGTCCACATCCTACCAATTCTTCCAATTCACTGGGATTACCAGCCCAATGACCTGCCGCGTTTCATAATTCATCAACCTTTCTCCTCTCACTCCCTGTGTCCAGCTTAGCTTTACTTAATGCACTCCTTGAAAGTAGGAGTAATACTTCTGTTGTTGTTTTATTTTCTCTTTTTGGCAAATTCTCCCTGGAACGATAGCATTTCTGGTATGGCTGGTGCTTGGTTTAGAGCAAGAGATATCCCATATTGAAGGCTTTTATGCTATGGGCTGTCACTGTAATCAACCCTGAGGAAGCGAGGGTATAAGTTCACTGTGTTGCCTCTCTCTCTTCTTTTATTATATTCACTTGGCAAACAAACAAAAAATAAAACAAAACTCTAAACAAAAACCCTACCATGATTAAATCCAACCATCTGCTTCTTTGAGCACCTGAATGAGGTTGGAGTAAATAATACAAATAGAATGACCAGTCCCACTTTAAACTTAGGCCCATTATTTTTAGAAGAGCATTTGACACTTCCTGGCTTTCTTTGTGTGTTCTCCTTCCTCTCTAAATCTTCAAAATGATCTTTATATACTTTCCTCTCTCTCCTACAACCTTTAGTATCACTCTGTCCCTACACTCTCTTAGCTGATGGCTTCCCTTTACCTGATAAAAATAAACAGATGGTCATTTGGCTTCCTCCTCCATAGATACTTGATTCTCATCTTTCTCAATGTCTCAGCAGCAGAGTGGCCTCGCCATCCTTCATGAATCACTTTCTTTGCTTGGCTTCTAGGACAACACCTACTTCTCCTTTCTCCCTAGCTCTTCCTTCTTGGTGTTCTTTACGGGATTCTCCTTTTCCCAACCTCCAGAGGTGACTGTATCCAAAGGCTTAGTCCTGGGTCCAGTTTTCTATGTACATTGGTGCCATGTTGAATCTTCACATATGCTGTTTTGGGGTTAGAGAACTGGGTGTGAGTATTTCTTAAAACTCAAAGGATTTTGTTGCACTGTGAGGACTGAAGATCACTGTCTACCCGTGGTGATTTTCCTCCTGGTGTTAATTTTACCCATATGTTGACCACTTCTAAATTTCTCTCTCCACTGAACTCTAGACTAGACATAGATACCTCTTGTCTACTGGATTTCTGATAGATATCTGAAATGTGACACTCCTGGATCCCTGTTCTTAATCCAACCTATTACTTCTCCAGCCTTGCCCATTTCAGTAAGTGGCACTAATTTTAACCCAGTTGCTCAAGTAGAACAAAACCAACCAACCAACCAACCAACCAGCCAACCAACCAACCAAACAAAGCATTAGAATTTGTCCTTGGTTCCATTTTTCTTATTCCTCCATCAGTCATTCCATCCGCTCTAGGAAGTTCCATCCATTTTACTTGTGATGTATATCCCAAAGATGTCACTCTCCGTGTCTTCACTCTTACTGCCCTAGTCCACATCATCGTCTCTTGCCTGGATTGCTACTATTAACTCTTAACTGGACTTTCTGCTTCTATTTTTTCATCCCACCTCTTCTTTCAGGTCATCCTCTACACAGCAGTCAAATTGGTCTTCTAAAAATGTCAGTCAGTTCACATCCCTCTTCCCGCCTCTTGCTTACACCTTCTAAAGCTTTTACATTGCATTTTGAATTTCATCATCTGAAATTATCTGTGTGAAATGACTCCTGACTATCTCTCTGACCACATAGGCTCCTCTCCTACTCTCCCACTAAGCTGTAGCTACCTTGACCTTCTTTCTGGTACTTAAACAAGCCACACTTATTTTTACCTTAGGCATTTTCTGTTCCTTCCATGTAGAAGGTTTCTCCTCTAAGTCCTTTTAGTGATGGAGTCTTTTGAATTATTCAGGACTCAGCTTACATGTCACATCTAAAGAGATGTCTTTCTTTGCTAAAATAGCTTTCTCCCCTACTTATTCATCAGGTATCCTTACATACATAGCACTTATTACACATAGTCTGAGAAGTATCTTGTTTTGTTTTACCTTATTTTCTTTCTCCCCCTTTAGAATTTAAGTTCTGTGAGTGCAGGGATCTTACCCATTTTTCATACTCATCTCCCCAGTGTCCAGATACCCCAAACATATGTATTGAATATACTCAGGAATGGAAAACCTATGGTAAAAACGATCAGTGTTCAGGATGAGATACATTTAAATGGAAAACCAGGACTGAGTACTTGGAGGCTTATAATCACAAAACAGATTTTAAGTATTAAAAACCTTGACAAAGTTCAAATAATAATATAACTTATGAAACTAAAAATGTGAATTACAAAAGGCGAATTTCCTTATTGTTCAAAGTAAGGAGTCAGTCTTAATTTTATTTTCTAAACATTTCTTCTGTTAAATTCAAGAAAAATTAAATTTTACTTTAAAAAGATTGTACTTAAAGTACAATTTCACTTTATATTTTACATCTCCTCCCCTACCTATCCATCTTCTTTTTGGATGAAAAAATGTTACAAAGGAAAAAAGATGCATATTTTGGGATTGTGAGAGTTCCAGTAATTTTTTTTTTGCTTTCTTCTTTAATTTTTTCCTATTAATTAAATTAAAAAATGATCATACAGCAATGAAGTTATTCTGAAAAATAGTGAATAAGTGGGGTGCCTGGGTGGCTCAGTCCCTTAAGCATCTCCCTTCAGCTCGGGTCATGATCCCAGGGTCCTGGGATGGAGTCCCAAGTTGGGCTCTCTGCTCAGCAGGGAGCCTGATTCTCCCTCTCCATCCCTGCTCCCCCTGCTTGTTCTCTCTCTCTCTCTCTGTCAAATAAATAAATAAATAAATAAAATCTTTAGAAAAATAGTGAATGAGAGATGAAAAAGCACAGACTACATGTGTGGAGAACTTTACAAGCTACCTATGAATGAAAGCATTGAAATAGGGATTGAATTAGAGAGATTTTCTCTAAGATTTTGCTAGTTTGCTTCTTGTTTAAGAAGGGAGGTACTAGAATAAACCTGAATGCTGATGAAATGGACTCAGAAGCAAGAATGTGTGCATGTGGCATATTTAGGGAAGAGAAGTGATCTATGGAGCGGCAGTCCCTTCCAGAGAAGAGGACAGTGAATGAGTTTCACAGCATCTATTCTGACCCAGCCTTTGTTAGGAGATGGGTGATTTAACTACTGTAAAAAGGGGACCAGGAGAAGATGAGTGTGGGCAGATGCAGAAAGTTATGTCGATTTAGAATCAGTGGTGGGAAATTGAGGGGTTTGATGGCTAATTCCTTTTATGACCTCTGAAGTTGGAGATAAGTCATTACTTGAGAGTGCATGATGGTAAGTGTAAGGAAATTGGAAAAGGTATAAAAATGGTGGAAAAGCTACTCCTAGAGAAAAACAGCAAGATTAATCGGCCCTGCTAAGGGTTTGGCTGAGGTTTGATTTTAAATGTGAAGTGATAGCAATCTATTCAGTGGAGTAATTTTTCTCCAGCTTTACTCAGCTGTTTGGGTACAGGTATGGAGAACATGGGTGGTTGAGTTCATTCATGGTAGGTGCTATGAGAAAGGAGCCTAAAAAGTTCAGGGGTTTGCAGGAGGAGGAGGATTGTAATGGACTCCAAGATGATGAAGACAGAAGTGAAGAGTCTCTGGTGGATAAGGGGAAATTGGTTTGGCCTGTGAGTTGAAAGATGGTGATGAGTTTGAAGGAATTTTGTTCCTGGGGCATTTGAGCTGTATGTCTTCCTTTCACATAACGGCAGAAGTAGATTAACTGAAGCATTCGTATTCATTAAGGTCCTTGTCATAGCTGCTCTGGTGTATAACTTTATGGTTTGGCACAAGCCACTTACTTGAGACTGTTTCTTTGTCTGTAAATAAATGGGTTGAGATCCTTGTCTCTCAAACTGAAGGGTGCACACAAATTACTTGAGTATCATGTTTAAATACAGATTCTGATTTAGTAGCTCTTAGGTAGGGTCTGAGGTTTTGCATTTGCAATAGGCAACCATGTAATTCGATGCTGCTGGTCCAGGGATCACACTTTGAGTAGCAAGGAACAGATAAAGTCTATGAGGCTTCGAAATTCTGATGATAAAATCTTTGACCTTGAAATATATTTCCTCTTTCTTGTCTTCCTTTTCTAAGCTTTGCCAATTCATCTTGAAACCAAGTCTTTGGACACTTCGATAGTTTTCCCTTAACTGAGCAGGAAGTCAATAGAGAAAGATGCAAGCCCTGCAGAATAACCAACGCCCAGCAACGGAAACGGAAGAGTTCTGATGACGTCTTAGAGCTTGTGTCTGCCTGGGTGGGGGTAGGTGATACTGCCTTTTCCCAGGCATGGTGTGTCAAACAGGAATGTACTATCATGCAGGAAATGGCTCCAATACAAACAGGGACGCCAGAGATCAGGCTTGAATGAGAGACTGATCACAGCAAATGGCACATTACAGACAGACACTTAGATCAATTTCCTTCCTTTGTTGTGTCAAAATGTTTCACTGTGTCAGGCTTCCTTTCCTTAAAAAACATATGTTCCCAATCTCATATACAATACAAAGCCCACCACAAGTCCTCCTTTACTCCCCCAACTTTAGGTTTCATTTCGTCTTAAAGCTAAAGACTACTGGAAGGGCAGCTGGTACCGACGTAGGGGAACCAACCTAAACTGTTGCCATATTGTATATTTCCCATATGTAACCTTCCCATTTCAAAAGGTCCCACCTACAGGGATGTGTTTTTCTGGACCAAACATGTTTTTTTGCAGGCAATCAATTCACATTTCAATTATTAGAAAAATAACGGAGTGCTTTAGCAGATTGAATCTGATGTATTTGACCCAAAGGGAAAATTTGTTGTAAGGAGAAATAGATGGAAGAAAGGAACAAAACATTTTTGTAACAGCTGTAACTGTTTGAGGACAGTTTTCTTTTAATGAGATGGGTGTTAGTGATCGTAGGAAATGCTGAGTATGAGTAATTGAGGGAAAAGTCAGAGTCAACGTTTCCTTTCCTTTCGGGATGTTTCAAAGGAGGAGGAAATCATTCTGAGAAGTACTTACTGACTTATATGGCGCAGGACACTGTCCATAGGCCAAGTTTACAAAAGAATTGAGAAAGACACATTCAGGATCTAAATGTCAGCTTCTAGCCTTTTGTCCTGGGGGCACCCTGCCATCACTGAGACTGACCAAGGGGGCTAATATTATCGAATGGTTCCTTCTTGCTTTCTGGACCTGGGTTGACGCCATATTTGAAGATGGCAAAACATAAAAGAGCAAGAGCCATCTTACCGAAGGTCTGTCTGTTAGGTTTTCTTTAAATATCCTAACTCCAGGGGTGCCTGAGTGGCTCAGGTCATGATCCCAGGGTCGTGGGATCGAGCCCCACATCGGGCTCCCTGCTCAGCGGGGAGCCTGCTTCTCCCTCTCCCACTCCCCCTGCTTGTGTTCCTGCTCTTGCTGTCTCTCTCTCTGTCAAATAAATAAATAAAATCTTTAAAAAAAAAATATCCTAACTCCATTCAAGAAATGTCTTGGAATATGTTTTATGTTGTGCTGAAATCTAAGCCACTTTTCTCTCCAGGAAATGGTGGTGGGGTCTCACAAATGAAAGTAAGGGTGTCTATTGATAGGCCTTTTGCAGTGGGGCAGGCAATCCACGAAACTAGGAAAAGAACTGTCACAAAAGCCCATTTCCACAGGAAAAGAACATTGTATGCAATAAACACAAATGAACTTGCTGCTGCACCCCTCACGCTCATCCTGCCACCTCTTACCATGCCTTCCTATGTACTGTTGAATCCACAGGCCATGGAATAAGTAGATGACACCATTGAATAGTTAGGCTGAAATAACATAAGAGGCCACTTTAATTATAAGGCCAGAGCTCATCAATGCATTGAAATGAGGAAAAAGGAATTGGAATAACCTCGCTTGAATTGCATTAAGTTACTATTTTGCAAAGCCAAAAAATTCCTAGGGTCTTCACAGTAGGCATTGTGGAGATTTTTTTTTTTTCCCAAGGGGGTGTGTAGGGGTGCGTGTGAGTGAATTATAAAAGACTGCAAATTACTTTGAATAAAGAAGAATTTTTTTAATTTTTTTTAATGAAAAGGGTTTCTACTACATGTAGCAAATTAAATTCCAGATGTTGGTGGCTACAAAATCTCTACCAGATGTAGGGACTCATGGTGGCTGGGGATGTTTATTGCAAGTATGGCATTCAGCACCTGTTTAAAGAGACCTCCCCCTTACCTTTTCATGTGCGCTAGCATGTTATTCATCAGGAATGACGAAATATTTAGCCTCCATAATTAAAGAGGCAAGGAAAATTTCTAAAACTAATAATTATTTTACTCTCAATGCCAGTTAAGTCAATGACTACAGTGTTTCTCCTGGGACATTTCTGAAAATCCATTAATCACACTTTGTCAAAATAGGGGATCCATTTTGGGAAGTTAATTCAGAGTGGAAAAAAGGACTTAAGGTCACATAATCCAGCCCAAAGGAAAGACACGGACTTTTAGCAGTCCCGCCCGATTGCTGCTTTAAGGTAACCCGTTTGCTAATGAGTCCTTATTACAGAGCCTCCCCGTTTATGAGCCACGGTGTTGCTACTGCATTTCCCATTGCATAAGAGCAAACGAGCGCTGTGTTCTCAGCACACTGTCCGTCAGCAGAGCTGGACCGTCCCAGGCTGCTGGAGGAGGGTCCTGAAGAAGGCCACTTCCCCCTCTGGGGTCACACTGCAATCCAAATATCTGTGTGAGCTCTACAGTCTGGAATGCATGTTAAAAAAGTGAGTTAATTGAGATTACAGTCTCTGCTACTTCGGAGTGAATGTTTCAGTGTTTCCTGAATCAGTCACAATGTAAGCCACATGTAATGATTGTCATTGTCTTTGGGATTCGTTGCTTGGTATGGAGGTTGGGCAAGAGGAAAGAAAGAATGTGACATTTTTTGATCATACACACCATCATACATTCCCTCACACACACATCCTCTCTTCCAGTCTGCGGCTCCTTTAGATGGTAAAACAAATGACCTTTTTATGAACTTGTTTTGCCTCCTGAGCTCTGCCCTTATGAACTTAGCTGGGATTCATGTTTTCTGTTTTTTTTTATAGACTTGATTTTTTAGGTTCACGGTAAAACTGAGCATAAAGTAGGAGAGTTCCCATATATACATCATCCCTCCCCGTCCCCAGTGCTGCCTCCTCCACTATCATCATCCCCCACCAGAGTGGTACACTTGATACTGTTGATAAACCTGTGTTGACACACGATTATCACCCCAAGTCCACAGTTTACCTTACAGTTCCCTCTTGGTGTTATGCTTTCTGTGGGTTTGGACAAATGTACAATGCCATGTGTCCGCCAGAGTCATTTCTGCCCTGTGCATTTCTCCCTTCTCACCCCTGGGAGCCCCTGATCTTTTTCTGTCTCAATGGTTTTACTTTTTTCAGGACATCATGCAGTTGGAATCATTATGGTACATACACTGTTCAAGTTGGCTTCTTTCCTGTAGTCATATACGGGTAAGTTTCCTCCATGTCTTTCATGGCTGGATTTCTTTTCATCCACATAAAATATTGGGACGGGAGAATGAAAACACATGGTAGCTTGCCAGGAGTTGAGGCTCCAGTGTTGAAGTCATTCTATGAAAAGGCCCTAGGCTAACCCACCTTGGATTTCCGTAGCCCACCAATCAACCTGGAAAGCTTTTATATGCTAGTTAGCTTGAGCCTGTTTTGCCATGTGATGTTCACATGTGTTTGATGTTCCTTGGTCCTCTTTTATTGCCTCCAAAACCAATAAACATAAGAATCCGATGAGACTCAAGATGGATTATTAGGGAAAGAGGATATTTATTCATTTCTACAAATAAAAGGGTATAGAGAGTGTTTTTTAATATAAACAAGACTAGAACAGTTTGTCTTCTGATTCCAGCTTCCTATTTCAGCAGAGGGCACTCCGACCTTACCTAGAGCCCAGTGTTTCTTCATTTGACCAGTTTGGGAAAGTAGCTGGCTTATCAGATCCATCTTTCAGTTTACCTGTCAGCAGTGAGAATACTGTTGAAATAGAAACCACATGCATCCAACTAGGACCCAGCCCTATCCTGTGTGATCCTGGTGTCTTTCATTCATCTCTACCCTAAAGCCCCTACTGTTCTCTAGTGTAATCCATGCATTTACATGTGTCCTTTCTGACTAGTCTGTGAACTCCTTGGGGCTGGGACCCATACATTTCATCCTAGCACAATGCCTGGCCTAGACTACACACTCAAGAAATACCTACTGAATAAATGGAAAAAAAAGAGTGGAGTCTGAGGGGACTGTAATGAATGGAAGATGTGCATGCGTTTGATGTTTCTATAGAAGCCACCGTTTGCCCTATGGATTCAGTAGTGTTCCTGGTTGGGGTTATATCTGTGTTACATATTGCTCTATGTCAAGAGGCAAAAATGGCACTGGCCTTAGGTCCAGAGTAGAAGAACCCACTGTATCACCCCGTTCAGCATGGCATTATGTTTGATCCCCCTAATGGCTGGGTCACAGCAAGTCATGTAGGTAAAGCAACGCTAGTTTTCTCAGCAGTTTGGACTGACAAAAGCCCAAGACAAATCCAGCTTGTGGATTTGCATGTACCCTTCCCTGGTCCTAAAATGCCCCCGTCTTCATCTCTGAATCTCAGAATCTTACCGCACATTCTATCACCTGCTCAAGTGCCACTTCTCATGGAGTTCTGTTTCAGGCCACCAGGAACCTTTCTGCCCCGTCTCCTATAGCAGTGAAAACTTAGAACAACCCTCATGGCACTCAGCAAGTTCTCTCATGCCTTACAATTTTTCATATGTATGTCTTATCTTCCAGAGTTTTATCTCCTGTAGTAAGGGACTTGACATTTTTTTGAGCGCCAACTGCATGTGTTATTTCATTTAATCCTTACAACATTTCAGTGGCAAATAACCATCCTTAGCTTGCTGATGAACTGGAGCTCAGATAAGTGAATTATCTTGACTGTTACCACCAAGCTAGCAAATGATGGAGCCAGATTCTAAGACCAGTTTGATGCCAAAGGCCATGTTCTTTCCATTACATTATACAGGACCCATTATGCCCCAGAGAGAGCTGAGCCTTAGCAAGTTGAGGGAGGTAGAACCCCTTTTTACTTTGCCCTGTTTGTAGGTCTCCAAAATCTTTATGATTGTCTTATTTCACTATCATGACAAACTGCTCACAGAAGAGAATCTGTGGGCCTGTCATTCGTATTACTTATGTGTTTAAATTTTAAAAACTGATATGTAATCTACATGAAGTAAAACACCAAAATCTTAAATGTATAGCTTGGTGAGTTTTTTTTTTTTTTTTTTACATATTGTGCAGGAAAGTGTTAGCCGAGAAGACTTGACTGCTATCCTTAGAAAGACCTGCTTGCAAGGTTGCTAAGAATTTGAAATTTGAGAGGGTTTGTGTTGTTTTCTGATAAGAATGGCTCATTGGCTCATAAGCTCATCTGGCTGGCTGTTGGAAGAGCATGCGACTCTTGATCTCAGGGTTGTGAGTTCGAACCCCACATTTGGTGTAGGGGTTGCTAAAAAAAATAAACAGAAAAAATTTTTAAAAAGTGGCTCATTGTGTATTCATGGGAACAGTATGGTATATGCTGAAGACTTGCTTTTCTTCTGAGAGTTTGTAATTTGGTACATGCTAGGCAGAAGCTACCTTTGTGATTAGTTCCCAATAAAAATCTTGGCACTGAGTCTTTAATGGGTTTCCCTTGGAGACAGCACTTTACACATATCACATTTGTTGCTGTAGGAATTAACAACCTATGTGACTTCACTGGGACTCTTAGACTCTTGCTTCTGGTTTACTCTGAACTTTGCCCCATGTGCTTTTTCTCTTTGCTGATTTTACTTTGCATCTTTTTTTTTTTTTGGTAATACGTTATAGCCATGCTTGTGACTCTATGTTGAGTCCTTTGAGTCCTCTCGGTAAACCACTGAACTTGGGAGTGGTCTTGCAGTCTCCTGCCTCACATATGTACACAGCTGTGTAGCCATCAGGTAGATCAAGATATAGAAATTTCTATCATTGCAGAAAGTTCCCTCATGCTTCTTTCCAGTAAAAACCCTTACTTCCTAAATTCCAACTTCTGTTGCTGGAGATTGGTCTTGCCTGTTCTTGAGTTTCAAATCAGCGGATCATAAGATAATTATATATACTCTCATGCCTGACATCTTCCACTCAAAGTAATGTTTTTTTGAGATTAATAAAAAATATCCATTACAATATCCAGCCTCTTAAAATCTTATGGCAGTTCATATCTATACACCACAATTTATTCTTTCTTCTGTGGATGGACATTTGTGTTGTTTCCAGATTTTGGCTATTATAAATTATAGCTCTGATGAACATTATTTTTTTTTTTAATTTATTCATTCAAGACACAGAGATACAGAGAGAGAGAATATGAGCAGGGGGAGAAGCAGAGGAAGGGGGAGAAGCAGGCCCCCCGCTGAGCAGGGAGCCCGACGCGGGGCTCGATCCCAGGACCCTGGGATCATGACCTAAGCTGAAGGCAGACGCTTAACCATCTGAGCCACCCAGGTGCCCCTCTGATGAACATTCTTGTATAAATCTTTGTGAGAACATATGCATTCATTTCTCTTGGAAAATAGTCTTGGAGCCAAAGTGTTGGATCATAGGGCAGATGCATTTTTACCTGTATTAGAAACTGCTAAGCAGTTTTCTAAAGCAGCTGTACCATTTTCCATTCCCATTACCAGTGTATAAGGATTTGTCACCACATCCTTGCTAATGCTTGGTATCATCAGTCTTTTTGATTTTAGCCGTTCTAATGCAGGGGTGGGGGGGCATGAAGTGATACTTTGCTGTGGCTTAAATTTGACTTTCTGGTGATTAGTGACACTGAGCATTTTTTTCACATTATTATTGGCCATTTGGATATCTTCTTTTGTGATGGGATTTATGTTACATTTTAAAATGATTTAAAATTTTTTTTTGTATTTTATTCTTAGTTCTATCTCCTCATTTCTGAGTTTTTCTCATTCTGACTGATACGGTTTTGTGTTTTTTTTTTCTTTGCATACTCTATCATGAAAAAAATCTCCATTAGTTCATTTGAAAAATATTGAGTTAGTTTTCATCTGTCCTGTGGCCTTTTTTTCTGGAGAGCTTTCATTATCTACAGAGATATTTTCCTGTGCCTAGTTTTCTATTTTCTTATAAAAATGTTGTATAAAATTCAACTGTAATTCCTTCCTGTTGCTCATTTTCCCAAGAGATTGGTTTTCCTAAACTCTTAGGGGGAAGGGATGGGTCAAGATAGCTTGTCTAGCTTGATTTTCATAGAGTTCTATCTTCCTGTTGTTTTATTGTTTTTGTTCAAAAATATGGTGTCATAATTCTGGAGCTCTCCTGGTTTTGTTCCTCGTCCTCATTTTCTTTGGACCTTCTCTTTTCTTCCTCCTTCTCTTTGTCAAATTATGTTATATCTCCTGCAGTTTTTCCATAGTGCAGAGCTTTGTCCTGGAATAGCACTTTGGCAAGTTCACTTCCACAGTTAAGTCCCACATTAATCTGGCTTCTTAAAATCTTCCTGCCATCTCATTGCACTCACCTGCAAACAACCCTTCGAATTCAGCTGCGGTCCTCAAATTGGCCACCCACACTTTCCAGTCAATATATATTGGCATGGTGCCTGGGCGGCATAGTTTGTTGAGTGGCCAACTCTTGGTTTTGGTTCAGGCCTGATCTCAGGGTCATGAGATCGAGCCCTGTGTTGGGCTCCATGCTCAGCAGGGAGTCTGCTTGAGATTCTCTCCTTCTCCCTCTGCTCTTCACCCTGCGTGTGTGTGCACTCTCTCTCTCTCTCAAATAAATAAAATATATAGGCATTGGAATTATTCCTTTGGGAATAATTCTGGGGTTAGCTTGTTCTCAGATCTGCTAGATGCCCCCTTACTTCCCTTGGCTTCTACCTGTATAGATGTTAATGATACATGAGTCTTGGTGTGTTGTCCTCACTGACTCCAATTCTGGGAATAACTTATTACTTAATGTTATAGATACTGTATGTGGCTTGCTGGTTTGGCTCTGTTTTTATGGGGTGATCAGGGATATTAAAAATGCTACATACCCTCACCACTGTCTTCCCATATTATATTTTGAATTTAAGCCAGGGTGGGTTTTTCTCCCCTTTAGTGTATTTATATTTTAGGTGTTACCTTAAATTGTGGAACAGGAGAACACATCTCCAGTTCAAGAGCTCACAGGGAACAGATATCAAATTTTCAACCTCTTGAGATCATACCATAGTAAACTGATGTCTACTGGGCCTTTGCATCAGACTCTTTTGAAAGAAGAAGCTTGAGAAGAATACATAACTCTATGTTTGGCTTTTCTCTTTTCTTTTTAAAAAACAATTCCCCTACTTCCTCTACTTGCTTTCCTTCCCTTGATTTAAATTCCTGGGAGTATATTTCACCAGTTTCTTATGTAAGGGGTAGCAAAAGAAACTTCTTAAACTCTATTCCCGCTTCCCAAAGCAACTATTGACAAAGGTATGGATTTCAGTCCAAACATACAATAGAACACATGGGACTGTTTGAATCTTTACATAATGAAGTTTCTCCATGGAATTCTTGCTTTCTTTCCTATTTCTTTTTTTTTTTTTTTAAAGATTTTATTTATTTATTTGAGAGAGAGAATGAGAGAGAGAGAACACATGAGAGGGGATAGGGTCAGAGGACAAAGCAGACTCCCTGCCGAGCAGGGAGCCCAATGCGGGACTCGATCCAGGGACTCCAGGATCATGACCTGAGCCGAAGGCAGACGCTTAACCAACTGAGCCACCCAGGCACCCCTCTTTCCTATTTCTTTAGGACTCCTCCTATACTGAATTTAGATAATGAGCCTTCTGGTTAGGGAAGTTTTTCCTTATTCTATGGTTAGTGACCAATTTCAGAGTGCTGCAATAATAAAACCACATAATCCAATGGTTTTCTAACTTTGTCTACATAAGCATCTTCTGGGATTTTTGGATTCCACAAACTGGAGATTCAGAAACAATATTGTAGGGTGGGTCTAGGAATCTGCACAGGATATACATCCCAGACGATGCTGATGCAATTGGTTTGTCTAGGGATGTCAGTTCGAAAAACATTAGTGTAAGCCAAAAATATTTTCAGAGACCAAATCAAAACTAAGTTTGGTGACTATATTCTAAAATAGGCCATGAGGTTTCAGAAAATGCTCTGTGTGAACATTCATTCATTGTTTTAGTTAACATCTTAAATGCTATGTGTCAGGGCCTGTGCTCATTCATTTTGAAATGAATAAGAGAAGGATCTAGACTTTATGGCTAATATGAGAGAAACATGCAAAGGAATAATTCCAATATAATGTTAAAAGGTAAAAGCGTTGACCCATGGCATTCTCATGGGAGGTATCTGTGACTTTTCAAATTTGTCATATAATTCCTTCCTCAAAATATGTCTGTAATTAAGAATGAAGAGTGATAATTTTAGTGATACGGAGAGTCTGGGCTATTATAATTTTTTTTTTTTCATTAAATGACCTCCAATTCTGTTCTAATTTTGTTCAGTAAAATGATGGCTCCATGTCATGAACCTTCTGGTCTGTCAAGAGTATTAAATCTACAGTTACCAAAGAGTATTTGAGATTAAATTATTGTGGAACAGTGCTTCTTAAATTTAAGCAAGCTTGTTAAAACCCAGATTCTCAGGTCCTATGCCCAGATCTAAGGAAGTGGGACCTGTGAATGCCCAGTTTCAGTAATCTCCCAAGACGTGCTACTGCTGTTGGTCTAAGGACTACATTTTTTTTTTTTTAAGATTTTATTTATTTATTTGAGAGAGAGAGAATGAGAGACAGAGAGCATGAGAAGGAGGAAGGTCAGAGGCAGAAGCAGGCTCCCTGCCGAGCAGGGAGCCCGATGCGGGACTCGATCCAGGGACTCCAGGATCATGACCTGAGCCGAAGGCAGTCACTTAACCAACTGAGCCACCCAGGCGCCCCTAAGGACTACATTTTGAATCGCACAGTTTTCGAAGAGCTGTTGGTAGCACTCAGGAACTAGTAATTAATATCCTAGATTGGGGAGTGACAGAGCATGATGAGAAGAAGGCTCTTCACGAAGGACCTGGGTATTTGAGATTCAGTAGGGGTTCGCAGTGTGGGAGAGGGTGGATCATAGGCAAAGAGAAGATTTCCAGGGAGATGGCAAAGTAGGGTCAAAGACACAGGCACAAAACAGTACCAAGCGTTTAGGGACCTGTCTAGAGACAGATCTTCTTACAGTCCAAAAGCTCACAGTGACTCTGGAGACAGTGGGAAAAACTAAGCTCCTACTTGAGCAGCAGAGGAAATGAAGACAATGGTATGTGAGCTTCAGGGAAGCGAACTGTGCCAAGAGATAGCAGGATGCACCGGTGTATGATGTTCCTTTGAGATATTTCTGAGAAAAGGGTGGCTGGTTTGCTTCCAGGGATGAGTTAAGTAGAGTTCTCTGTCTATGTGTCAGAGCTTCCTGTGTTTAGAGCTTCCATCCAAATTTCTGACTCTGTGATATTAAATATGCATTTAAAATTTGGGGGCATGAAGAGGAAAAATATACGTATTCCTATTTGATTAGGCTTGAAACTTGCACACAAGTAGAAAGCCAGTTTCTGCCAGAGAGGTGGAAAAATCTCCAAAGATCTCTCTTTCTTCTTTAAAGATTTATTTATTTATTTGAGAGAGAGAGAGAGAGAGAGAGAGAGAGAGTGAGAGAGAGAGCATGCGTGCACATGTGTGTGCGGGGGAGGGCAGAGGGAGAGAATCTCAAGCAGACTCCCCACTGAGCTTAGAGGTGGATGTGGGGCTGGATCTCATGACCCATGAGATCATGATCTGAGCCAAAATCACTAGTTGGACGCTTAACCAACTGAGCCACCAGGCCCCTTCCAAAGATGTCTTAACTATACCTCGGAATATATGCATTTGTAGTTGCAAGTTCAAAGTAGACTTTGACTTCTTGACTGTATTCATGGGCAAAGAATCTGCAGTAATCCAGTTTCTCATTAGAATGAGCTGCCAGACAATGTTGTATTACTGGGCAGCAAAGAGGACTGCCCCTGGTCAACAGATGTAATAATTGGGCATTCTCATTAGTGGTATCTGGAGTTTACAGGAGAGAAAACACCACATGAGAAAGAATGTTTCTAACTGTGGGCCCAAAGACTTTCACATTGCTGGGTCTTCATGTCTTTACCCAGGAGCACTGGCAAGCCTTTTGCAAGAGGAAAAAATAAGACCAACCAAACCAAACAGTCTGTGCATGTGTTGTTAAAGAGAAAAAGAATATCCATTTTTACCACAAATTTTTCTGATGAAAAGTGAATTTTCTTCCTCAGCCCTTCCCCTCACAGCTGCTGTGTAATTCTGGAGCCTGAAGTACTTCCACTCTAATAAAAATTTTCATCTTATTTCTGAGCAGCAAATAATAGCAGACCCTAGGCATATGTGAATAGCCTGGCACATTCTCTCTTCCTTCAATTTTAACTGTCCGGATCTGCAAGCAGAGGAGTCCTGTAGGCTCAGCTGCAGAACAAAAGCCAGGGGCTCTTTATTTGCGACTGATTGGCTTGGTAAATGGATTTGTCACAGAAATCCTCTCTGAAAGGAAATGACCCAAGTCTTTGGGCTTTTATGTATCTATTTTATGCTGCTAAGAATTGGGTTTGACTCTAGTTTTTAAAGAAAGAGCCTTGATAGTTCATTCATTCAGTCATTTATATATTTATGAACATGTATTGAGTATCTGCTATGTGCGAACCACCGTGCCAGGCACAGGGATACTAGGAACAGTGAGACTTGGCTTTAGAACTTTCTTTCTAGTGGGAGAATTAGATAAGTAAGCAACTTTCCCCATTATCTCGAGGTACAAGGGGTATTTAAGTCTACCTGGGGAAGCTCCCCAGACAAGGAAAATTGTGATCTGACTCCTTGAAGAAGGAGGCATTTGTCTTCCAGATGAAGAGTGGGTTGGGGTCTGCGGAGCTGAGAAAGGTACATAGGACGCAGCAATAGCAACTGCAAAATCCTAGGAACTCTGCGGGCTTTGGGAAGCTGGACAGAATTTGCATTGGGTGTGGTGGGTTGGGACAGATGGAACTAGCAATTGAACATGGAGATCCAGGAGAGGCCACACGGTGACAGACTCAATACACAAACACAAGGAAAATCCCTGGGATTTCTTTAAGGGTCTGGATCTGGGTGTTTATTCTCTTTGTCCCCATGCTTTATCTGTAGAATGGGATAATGGTTGTGCTTACTTCACAGCATTGTTGTAAATATAAAGTGAGGTAACATGTGTCAAGGTCTTAGCCTGATTACTGGCAATTTTTTGTTCCTCATAAATTGCAGTGATTACATTGACAGCAGTGATAATAGCTGTTCTTGTTGCCTATGCCGATTATAATATTTCTGCAGTCTTTTCCATCTGGGCCTGGGAACAACTATGGGGAATCTGAAAAAGAACCCCGGTGAGTCTATTATCATCCCACTGGGGGTGGAATGGTAAGATACCGATTGGAGGAAGTGAGCGAGTTCTGGGTTCCCAGAGCTGAGAATGAACAAAACCTTGATCAGGACAGTGAGGATGAAGACGCACATCTGATTAACATACAGGTCTCCCAACTCTCCACCCTAAACTAGGCTCCGCTGCACTTGACACTTCTCCAACGGTGCCCTCTAGTGGCCCATAGGAAAAGAACGTTTCCTATCTGTAGGATCAGGACTGAATACAGTAGTCCCCCCCTTATCCAAGGTTTTGCTTTCTGCCTTTTCAGTTACCCAAGGTCAACTGCGTCCAGAAGTGGACCATCCTTCTGACAAAATGCTACAGCACAGTGCCTACGTCATTCACCTCACATCATCTCATCACCTATGCATTTTATCATTTTGCATCATCACAAGAAGGTTGGGTACTGTATAGTAACATATTTTGAGAGAGACCACGTTCACATAACTTCCGTTACAGTATATTGTCAGAATTGTCCCAATTTATTATTAGTGATTGTTGTTAATCTCTTACCATGCCTAATTTATAAATTAAACTTTATCACAAGTATGTGTGTATAGGAAAAAACAATATATATAGGGTTTGGTACTCTGCATGGTTTCAGGCATCCACTAGGGGTCTTGGAACACATCTTGTGTAGATAAGGGGGGGGAGCTACTATAAATTATATGCAGACCATGGAATACTATGCAGCCATTTAAAAAGAATTAATTAGAGCAGTCCCAGTCAACTTGGAGGAATTCCATGAAGGTTTGAGGGAGAAAAGCAGAATGCAGAAAAGCATAGTTGATGTGAACTTCCTCTTGTAAAACAATAATCAAAAAACTTGTCTCTGTATGTGAGATGTGTATGAATAAGTACTTATATAGGATTAAATAGAATTATGTGAGCATAAATAATATATGAAAGGATATAGACTAGCTTCTGAAAAGTGAATTCTCTTGGGGTGGGAGTAAGAGCTGATGTATATAGAGGGAAGATAAGAGATTGCAAAAGTCAAACAAACAAAGGTCCACATTTATGCATTCATGTAAAATTATGTTTAAATACATATATTCATAAATAAAAGTTCGTTTGCAAGTAAAATAGTCCAGATGATGGAATTAATGAAAAAGAATGTTCCATAAAAGTGAAATAGTACGGAAGATAATTTACTCATCTATTTATAATTTCTGATTTGTGACTTTTTTCTTTCTTGCAAAAGCCTAAAATGGCTACTGTTTTAAATTATGGTGTTACAGAAGTTCAGTGTGTATGGAAGGATCTGTTGAGCTATTTCTAAACTCCTGCTAGTGTAAGTTTGTTTTCTGAAATGCTCAGCTTTGGTTTCTTACCACAAAATGTATGAAAAAGTCTCAAGTCTGACCCTGGTACTGTGTTTTCTTCCACTTAGCAGCCTTTATATGTGATAAAACTATGTTTGTGATTGTTTGCTTGTCTTGTAGTGACTTATTCTTCACTTTCATGTGAACGGCAATAAAAATCTATTTGAAGATGCCGATCGAAATCTATAATAGCAATATGATAGACACCAGACTTGGATCTCAGTTTTATCACTCACTATGTATGTGAACTTAGACAAGCTATTCTATTTCTGCCCTTCAGCTTCTTTATTTGCAAAACGGGGACAAAAGTAGGACATAAGCTATAGGTTTGTTTTGAGGATTGAATGAGATAATTAAGGTAAAGTGTTTAGCGATCCTCCTGGTACATGGTATTCATTTATTTGTTCATTTATTTGTTTGTTCATTCAGGAACGACTTCCTGAATGCCTCTATGTGCCAGGCTCTGTGCTGGGCACTGGGAATGGGAAGCGGCAGATCTACATAGCCTACACATTAGCAGACGAGACAGACGAATCTAATGGCCACACAGTGAATAACTGAAAACTGTGATACAGGTTGAGAAGAAACAGTGCAGGGAGCGATGAGAGTGTTTGAGCTGGCTAGGGAGCCAGGGGAGGTTTTTCTGAGTAAGCAATGTGTAGGTTGAGAAATTAAGGATGAATTAATAGTCATTAGTTGACGGGGCATCTGGGTGGCTCAGTCGATTAAGCGTCTGCCTTGGGCTCAGATCATGATCCCAGGGTCCCGGGATTGAGTCCCTCATCGGGCTCCCTGCTCAGCAGGGAGTCTGCTTCTCCCTCTGCCTCTCCCCTGGCCTGTGCGCTCTCTCTCGCTCTCTCTCAAATAAATAAATAAATAAATAAATAAATAAATAAATAAAATCTTTTCAAAAATAGTCAGTTGAAATTGAGCATGCAGAATATTCTAGGCAAAGGGAAGAGCCTTTACAATGCCTGTGGCAATGGGGAGAAGGATGTGTTCTAAGAGTGGCTTTTTAATAAATGTCTGTCACCATTTATTTCACCAAGCTCGCTCCTCATTTTCTCATGATACCTATTTTATGGGGACTGTGAAAGTAAATAATAGCCACTTTGTAGTGTTGTGTGGATTACATGAGAGAATGCGTTTGATGCATACTACTAAATACATAGTAGATATACCATAAACGCTCCCCCCCTCCAATATCTAGGCTTTGGTGCTGAGATGGCAAGTGTAAATTAATTCTTATTAACTATAAATGTAAATTAATGATTTCACACACACGTGTGCACCCACCCACACACACACCAGCCATTGTGTGGACATCTCGTGTTACCCCTGGAGACCTGGTTTTGTTCGTGAAAGGTGAAGTTTTAACCCAGTGAAATCTGTGCCTTCCATTTTTGAGTCTTCGTTTTAAAGTTTTTGTGTTATTAGTTTCCCTAGCCAAAGCTCCAGAAGTTGGCTAGTATGGGGAAAAGAAAAGTGGTATAACCTCTACCCGAATCCTCCAGACTTCAGGCAATAATCATTTCTGTTCTGGGTATTGATGAGGCACTCATTTCAGCTTGCTACAATTTGATGTGTGCCAACTATGTGTTAGGCATTATATTAGTTTCTGGGTAATAAAATGTTATTAAAACAGAATCCTTATTCAGAAGAGGAGAGATTCATATAATAACAACTATTATTTTTTAGGATTCTTTTTTGGAGGGCGGTAAACCAACCGTGGATTCTCAGTTGAAAACAGTGCAGCCTGAAGAAATCTCCAATCCTGCCAAAAACTCTTCTAGTGCATTTTCCCTCTAATGCTGGTTTCTGTTCTCCTCCAGTGGCTTTAGGGATCACACAGGAAAATCTCCACCATTTTCGCACTAAGAGAACCAAACACTCCTGCCACTGTGCTTGTCTGAATATCTAATCTCCCTGAGGCTGCTCTATTTCTCTTTATTCATTTCTACTCTCAGGTCTTGAATGAATGTATCTTTTTGGTGGAACTTAGGTCACATGTATAGCCCCGGCTGAAACAGATTCTTACAAGTGAAGTGTTAGCTTTCTACTCTCTACTGTACAGGAAAACATGGTAAAAGGGATGGGGATTAGGAATTGATGAGTGAATTTGTAATACCTTCCACAGTCCACCTCTTTAGCTGGGTCTACAAAGACTCATCATTAAATTTCAAAACAACAATGACAACAAAAACATTTTCCTGCAAAACAAAATGTAATGATTCCATACCCTCTTCCCAAAGGGGAGAGTCAAAGTCTCACCAGTTACTGCAAATATCTTTTTTTTTTTTTAAAGTTTTTTATTGATTTATTTGACAGAGAGAGACACAGCGAGAGAGGGAACACAAGCAGGGGGAGTGGGAGAGGGAGAAGCAGGCTTCCCGCGGAGCAGGGAGCCCGATGCGGGGCTCGATCCCAGGACCCTGGGATCATGACCTGAGCCGAAGGCAGACGCTTAACGACTGAGCCACCCAGGCGCCCCTACTGCAAATATCTTGATGCACTTTTATCCTTTAGTTTAGGGTTTGGCAAACTACAGTTTCCAGGTTAAATCCAGTCCATCACTCACTTTTGTTGTAAATAAAGTTTTGTTGTTGTTTGTTTTTTTAGAAGATTTTGTAAGTAATCCCTACACCCAATGTGGGGCTCAAACTCAGAACCCTGAGATCAAGAATCACGCACTCCATGGACTGAGCAAGCCAGGCGCCCCTGTTATAAATAAAGTTTTATTGGAACATAGCCTACTCATTTGTTGATGGATTGTCTATGGCTGCTTTTTTGCCCCAATGGCAGAGTTGAGTAATTGCTATAGATACAATATGACCCACAAAGTCTGAAATATTCACTAAAATATCTGCTAAAATTGGACCCTTCACAGTAAAAGTTTGCCAATCCCTATTCTAGCTAGTTTTAACCCTGTCTTGCTATCCCATAACTAAATTTACATTAATCACCATGAATGCACCATGTATGAAATAGTAGGAGAAAGGGATTTCTCTTAAGAAGGAAAGGATAGGGGCGCGTGGGTGGCTCAGTGGGTTAAGTGACTGCCTTCGGCTCAGGTCATGATCCTAGAGTCCCAGGATCGAGTTCTGCATCGGGCTCCCTGCTCAGCAGGGAGTCTGCTTCTCCTTCTGACCCTCCCCCCTCTCATGTGCTCTCTCTCTTTCTCTCTCTCAAATAAATAAATAAAATCTTTAAAAAAAAAAAGGATAGTATATTTGAGCAAGGAAGAAACTGTGAGTATATGCTATGATCATCATTTCTACAACACATTTTAACAATTTCCTTTTCTCACTCCTCATTCTACATTCCTTTTACCCTCAGTGAGCATATAACCTGTACTTCTAGTTCTTATGGGTCTGAGCCTCAGTGGACCTGTCTTTATGCGGTTGCTAGAGTTGTTCACTATTACTGTTGGACATGGCGGTACTAGGAGAGGATCCAGAGGAATCATTTCAGACATGTAGCTTCTCTGCTTATGTTATGGAGTAGCAATCTCTTTTCCTTTTGATTATTAGACTCCATCACCTCAACCAACAAAGTATTCCCCCAGCCCTTTCACCAACACATTCAGTGGACCGAGGGGCTCAGAACGATCAGGTAGGATTCTTACTTTCTAGATCAATCATTTTGTCACCTAAAGTTGTTCTTTCACCCTTAGGTGCTAAGATCTCTAAACAAGCTGAGCCCAAAGACACCAGAATGGAAAACAAACATTGTGTCAGGAGTTTATCATGGGTAACACTGACAAGTGCCATTCCAAGTTCTACCCCTTTGGTCCCTGTTATGGGCTGAATTGTGACTTCCTCAAAAATTTGTACATTGAGTCATAGTCCCCAATCCCTGAGATTGTGACTGTATTTAGGAATAGGATCTTTATAGAGGAAATCAAGTTAAAATGAGGTCATTAAGTTGGGTCATAGTCCAAACTGACTGGTGTCCTTATAAAAAGAGGAAATTCAGACACAGACACATATAGAAAAAAGATGAAATGAGGGCACAGGGAGAAGAGCGTCTACAAGCCAATGAGAGAAATCTGGAGCAGATCCTTTCCTCATGGGTCTGAGTAGGGACCAACCCTATTGACACCTTGGTCTCAGACTTCAAGCCTCCAAAACTGTGAAAAAATAAATTTTGGTTGCTTAAGCCACCCAATCTGTGGTACTTTATGATGGCAGCCTAAGAAAATGAATATAATCCGGGGCCCTTATATTTTGGCTATGGGAGAAACAGCACAATATATTACTTACTCGTTTAGAGCAAACTGTAGAAGAGCAGTCCAAACTCCCAGCTAATGTTATGACTCTTCAATTGGCAGTTCCACTATTCAATAGAGTCAACTGCTTTTGAGTGACGGAGAACGTCACAAGATCAGTGCCTCCTGTAACTGGTCCCCATTGTTTTATTTCTTTTGCTCTAAAATTGAGTTCATTAGTCAGAAGTGGTATTTTTTTTTTTAGTCTACTTTAATGGAGAGTCCCAGAGTCGTGATGTTGGCATAAGAATGGCTGGCATGGAATATATGTTAAGAAAAAAAAAGAAGAAGAAGAAGTTAGCAGGAGGGGAAGAATGAAGCGGGGGAAATTGGAGGGGTAGACGAACCATGAGAGATGATGGACTCTGAAAAACAAACTGAGGGTTCTAGAGGGGAGGGGGGTGGGAGGATGGGTTAGCCTGGTAATGGGTATTGAGGAGGGCACGTTCTGCATGGAGCAGTGGGTGTTATGCACAAACAATGAATCATGGAACACTACATCTAAAACTGATGATGTAATGTAGGGGATTAACATAAGAATAAAAAAAAAAGAATGGCTGGCATGGAAGGCAAATCCATATTCAGAATAAATGTCTAGTCTAGAAAAGACAAATTCGTTTCTCCACTCCACCAAGTGGCTGGCTGATCTCCCAGAGGTGTGGTGCTAGCCGTTGGTTTCTGTGGCTGGAAGTTTGAACAGTCATCAATGGTATTAGCCAGATAGACCCTTGATGCCATTATACTAGTGTATAACTTTATTCCTGCCACTATTGTTACTTGATAGATGAGCCCATTGAGAAGGATCTGGATAAAGACGTCAATTGACATACACAGAATAAGTCATGTTGTCTACATGATTACTGTTAAACACGCTAAGAAGGCCACTTTGGATGGGTATTAAATACAAATGTATTAATACTTGGTTTATTCTGAAAAGATCACACATATACTTCTTTCCAGATATCTTGTCATAAACCCAAGCCCACAACCATATGGACAAAACCAATGGCCTCTACCTTCTGTTAATTTTTGTACATCTGAGTCTTCAGTCATTTCTCCTCTATACATTTTCCTTCTGCCCTTCTTTGAGCCACCGCTAACTAAGGCTGTACTTACGCGGTAGCCCATTTACAGCTGATGCCAGGGTGCTGAACGAGCCTATTTGTAAGTCCAGCTGATACTTTTCCCCCCACTTTAATCAACATCTAAAAGGCAACTTCCCATTAGTTCACATGTGTGGCAGGACAACAGGAGTAGGCATATTGGGAATGTGTATATAAAAATACATGCTCGTGCAACTGACTCATGCTCTCGGGATCTACCCGAGCCTGATATTAAATATAAAACTTCATTGATGATGAGGTGCTGCTGGGCACACTCAAGTTTACGGCTTGGTGGGTCAGTAACCTCCGTTTATCACATGTATTTCAGATCTTTATGGTTACTTTGTATCCCATTGTCCATCTTCTCAGGACCTAGGACCAAGTCAGAAACAATTTTTTAGAAGGAAAATAGTGATTTGCTAAAAAGTGTGTATTTCCCACATTCCAGATTGCTTACACTGTGATCATCCTTTTTAGACTCTCCACTGTTGCCACATAACATCCTGATTTGTGACAGATATTTTCAACACTTTGAGTTTGTTGGTTCATAAGGGCTGATTGGCAGAATCCCTTGCCCTGCGACTAGTTGGCCGAGAGTCTTCTTTTGCTCTGCCCCGTTACTCAAAGCTGCCCCGCACAAGTTACTCAATGAGGGAGTAGGAGCAACATACCAAAATGTAGTATGTGTTATCACCAACTGTCTCAAAGCATTAGTCCCTCCAGAACTTTCCTGAAGTGGCAGATATCTGAGTATTTATGAAATTTACCTCTAATGTTCTAAAATGCATGGCATCTAGTGTACCTGGCCCTCTCTGTCTGTAAGTTACTGTCATCATGTCGTTCAAGTAGTGGGTCAGCGTGGTGTCCCATGGAATGGTGACACAAAGTCTCTGCAGAATAAATAATGGCACAGAACCAGAGGTCAGATAGAGCCCTGTGGCAAAAGAATGTAGGCAATCCGCTGACCCCACTAGGGGAAAAAAACCTGCTGCTGGGGTTTCATAATGGAAGAGAAGCAAAGCATTCTTCAGATGAATAGTTGCAGATCATATGCCAAGTGGTGGGTTGACCTGCTCCAGTAAATTGTCTCAACTGGAAACAGCAGCAGCCACTGGAATTAACATCTGATTAAGTTTATGATAAGTCACCTGTTATTCACCGAGAAACAGCTGTGTTTTACAGAAGTCAAACAGGCAAGTTAAACAGAGATGTAACAGTATTACCATCTTGCTCATGGGTTCTCTCATATATGTAGTATTTTTTAAGCTATTATTTTGGGGG